CAGCAGGATGCGCCGCGGCATGCCCCTCAGGTCCGTCGGCTTCAGGCCCCCCGTCTGCTCCGCCACCTGCGCTCATACATGCCATGCGTGCCGTGCATGCGGTAGCATCAGTGGGATGACATGGCCTTGGGTGGAATGACATGGCATTACATGGCATGGTGTGGTACGTCACCGTCATGAAGTATGGCATCCCATGCTTTGATATGGTATGATTCTATGTGATATTATGGCATAAGCTCTGAGCTATAAGCAAGTAGAGGCATGGAATGACATGGCATGGCATGGCATAAGATGGTATGGATGGCACGGCATGGCAGGGCAGGGAGAGGGCCTCACGAAGCGCCAGTCAACTGCGTCAACGAATCGCTGGTCCATGGAGGCGGCGGCGGCGCGGCGCAGAATCTTCTCCCTCTCGCCCGCCGTGGGCAGCGGCACCTCGATCACTCGGTCCATGCGCCCTGGCCTGCGCAGCGCTGGATCCACCTGGGGGCGGAGGGGGAGGAGAGGAGAGTGGGGGGAAAGGGGGCACGGGGAAGGGCGGGATGGGTGAGCCGACAGGGGCAGTCTTGGCTGTTGGGAGAAGGCGAGCGCAGGGAAGATGCATGTGCCATGTGCGCCCCATGTTGCCACGGGCCACACTCACGGCCCTCGTGTGGCCGCTGTACCAGCACCAGCCCCCCCGTCCTCCACCCTCCTCCACTGGCACTCACAGCTTCTCCCCTGCTCTGCTTCACTCTCACCTGCTACCTTGCTCTGAATCACTCAGCTTCTACCTTCCACTGATACACTCACAGCAGCTGGATTGTCAGTGATTGCCAGCAGCACCACGCCCTCCTGTGTCTCAAACCTGCAACCCAAGCAAAGCACGGGCAGCAAAACGAGCAGGAAGCGTGAGAGCGGTCCAAGGCGAGGCTCGAATGTCAGCATAGAGAAGAGGGGAGCGAAGCAAGGGGGGGATAGTAGGGTGCACTGGACAGCAAGTGAATGCCAGTGCAGTTCACATGAGGGTAGCACGGTGCAGAGAAGCAAAGGCAAGGGAAACAGCGAGCGCAGGAGGGCGGGAGGCGGACCCGTCGAGTTCAACGAGCAGCTGGTTGATGATGGCCTCCTTGTCCTGCAGCCGCGTGTCCATGGCCGCCCCGCGCACCCCGCCTATCTCCTCAAAGTCCTCCATCAGGATCAGCATGGGCGCCTGCCAGTGCCGGTGGCAGTGGGGCGATGAGAATCAGCATGGGCGCCTGCCAGTGGCGGTGGCAGTGGGGCGATGAGAATCAGCATGGGCGCCTGGCAGTGAGTGTAATCTTGACCACCTCACCATCTCAGCATCAAACCATCTCACCATCTCCCATGCCATCTTGACCACCTCACCACCTCACCACCTGACCCTCTCACCATCTCGCGCGCCATCTTGAAGAGCTCGCGCACGTTGGCAGCGCCCTGCCCCACGAACCCCCCCGGGTCCACATCGCTGGACTTGATGTCCACCACCGGCACCCTCGCCTCCGCCGCTATCGCCAGCGCCAAACTGCTCTTGCCCACTCCCGACCCCCCCGTTATCAGCACGCCCTGACGTGCACGTATGGTGGGGTGGCAGCAGCAGAAGGGAAGACAAAGGTGAGAGGAAGAGAGGCAAGCAGGGTTTGTACGGCACAAGGCAGCAAGACAGGGCGTGGCTCACCCGGGGCGGGCGGGCGCCGAGGCGTTGGAAGGAGGAGGGGTCGCGCAGGAAGGTGATCACCTCCTGCACCTCCTCCTTCACCGCGTCCATCCCCGCGAAATCGCTCAGCCGCACCGCCGGCCTCCGCACTCGCTGCCCACACGCACCGTGGGAGGGAGGGAGCGGAAAGGAACAGATGGGATGGGATGAAGGTGAGAAATGAAGACATGAAAAGGAAATGGCAGTTTGAAGAGGGGGTGTGGGGAAAGACGCAAAAGAGGGCGGGCATTGCACGGAGCAAGGTGAGGGGGGGCAGTGGAGGTGCGGCGGCAGGGGGTACCTTCATGCGGTCGAAGGCCTCTCGGATGGAGTCCTTGACCTTCTTCTCCTTCTTCGCCTTCTCCTCGTCCTCCTCCTGCTTGCCCACGCGCCGCAGCAGCTCCTTCCCCAGCCGCGTCTTGTACGCCGTCTCACTCTCCGGCCCCGGTGCGCCCACCAGCAGGCGCTGCGCCAGGGCAGCGGCGGGGAGGGCGGCCCAGCGCAGGGGGAAGAGCGCCACAGCGGCCTTGGCGGGCAGCACCAGCCACCACGCCCACCTGCCCGCCATGCTGCTGCGCTTCGCGAAGCGCCTCTCCGCCGCCGCCAGCCACCCCATGCGCTCCAGTGCCACCACGTCGCCCGCCGCCGCGCCCTCCGAGTAGTCGAGCTTGAGCAGCGCCTTGAGGCCGCGCGGCATGGCGGGCCACACGAAGCGGAAGAAGGTCTCCTCTGCTGCCTCGCCCGCCGTGCCCACGTACCACTGCAGCGCCACCTGCACCGGCCCCGCTGACGACAGCGAGTGCGCCGCGTGCCCCACCACACGCGCCGGCAGCGCGTACAGCGAGGCGGGGTCCCACTCCCTCACTGGCACCCACATCACCTCCACCCGCGTCGGCACGCCCGCCGCCCGCAGGCGCAGCAGCAGCTCGTCGGTGCCGCCAGTGGCGTGGCGCCAGCTGTCCCACGCGGATAGGTCGACGAAGAAGAGGCGCGGGTCGGCCTTGAGGCGCAGCAGGGCGGCACGGCGGTCATGGCGCAGCGACACGGAGGAGAGCAGCGAGTGCGAGAGCGCCTCCCACAGCCCCGCCGCTGTCAGCTCCCACCGCCCCTCGGGGCCACCGCCCAGCAGTGGCGAGGTGACGCCCGTGTTGAGCGTGGCCTCCCCCATCACCCGGTCGCGCGCTGCCAGCACCTCCGCCTGCATGCCGGGTGACGCATGGGGAAGCACGGTATTGGGCGCACGGCAGGGAGAAAATGAGAAAGGAAGATTTGCGAGAGGGCGTGCATGCAGCTATCCGCCCATGCAGCATTCAGGAGCAACAAAGCAGCAACAAGCAGGGAGTAGCGGGCGGCACGGACCTGCTTCTCAGCTGCAAACGCCTTGGCCTTGCCTCGGCTGCTCACAATCTGCTTCTTTGCCGCTGCCCGTTGTTCCGCCGCCCACTTGTGCCACGCCAGCACCTGAGCATCCGCTGCTGCCTCCTCCGCTGCACTCAGTGCCTTCAGGCCCGCTGCCCCTTCTGGCCCTGCCTGCTCCGCCCCCTGCCCTGCATCACCACCAGCAGCAGCGGCAGTGGGGGCGGCAGGGTCTCCGCCCCCCACGGCACGTCTGAGCGATCGGAGCAGCACAGCAGGCACCCGGCCGGGGTGGTCAAGGCACTCGCGCACGTCCCTGCCCGCCACCGCCATCGCACCCCCCATCGCCGCCACTCCCTTCCCCGCTTCCCCCTCGCCGCCCTCCCCGTCCGCGCTCGCGCCCCCTGCCACCTCCCCATGCACCCTCCTCTTCGCCTCCCCCAGTGCCTCCCACATGCGCGCCAGCCGCCCCTCCGCCTGCTGCCCCGCTGCCACCACTGCCGCCGCCGCCTCGTCAGCGCGCCGCTGCGCCGCCTCCACGGCCCGCCTGCACGCGCGCACACTGCCCGCCCCTTCGTCTCCCCCTGCCCCTGCCGCACCCTTCCCCTTCCTCCCCTTCGCCTTGCCCCCTGCCCGACTCCCCTTACCTGCCGCCCCTTCTTCGCTCTTCCCTGCCTCTTCCCCGCCTTCCTCCTCCCGCCCCTTGCTCTCCGCCGCTTCCCCTTCCGCGACTCTCTCCCGCGCGCGCTCCAGCGCTTCTTCTCTCTCCGCCAGCGCCATGCGCGCGCCCACCAGCTCGTCCAGCAGCCGCGCCTGCCGCGCCTCGCTCTCCCGCATGCTCCGCGCCCACTCCGCCTGGTACGCGCGCTCAACCGCGCCCACCTCCTCCGCCGTCACCGCAGCCGCCGCTGTCCTCTGGAATGCCTCCAGCCTCTCCTCCGCCCGCCGGCTCCCCGCGTCTGCCTCCCCCAACGTCCCCACGTCCCCCGCTTGTCCGCCTCCTGCTGCTTCCCACCCCCCCACAGCACTCTTGCTCCCCCGCGCTGAGGATGTTCCACCCTCCGCGCGCTTTTCCTTCCGCCGCCCCGCAGCCTTGCTGCGTGCCTCGCGCCTCCCGCTACTCGTCTCCGCCACAGTCGCCGCAGTCCCCGCGGGGGGTGCTTGCGCGAGGGCCGGCGGGCGAGTCGCGAAGGGCGCGAGGGCGAGGAGGAGAGCGAGAGCCGCGGAGGCGAGGGGGGAAGCAAGGGCCCGCGGGACGAGGACGTTGGGGAAAGCAGCAGGCGGAGATGGCGGGCCATGGGGAGCGGGCGACTCGCACTGCTCCTGCGCCTGTGAGCGTGATGGTGAAACGCCACTCGCGCTTTGCCGCTCCCAGCCCCTCTCAATGTCTGGCTCTATCGATCCGTCCGACGCTCTACTCCTCGCCCCACCATCGCCGCTATACGCACAAAATACTCGATTTTCCCCTTTGCTGCTAATGCCGACGTAAGCCCGCCTAAACCCCCGCCTATCTGAGAATGGAGCGTGCGGGCGCGGGATGGCGCGGCCTGCGCCGGAGAGAAGCCCGCGGGCGGCGGATTCAGGCGGTGGCGCGCCGAGCAGAAAGGCGGGACGGCGAGCGAGGAGGGATTGCACGCCAGCCATGGCGGGGAGTGGACGAACAGCCCGCAAAAATGTTTTCGCAATGCACTCGAATTGAGAGGTCAATCTTTCATGCCGTCACCTCACACACCCCCTCTCTCCAAAAGTGCAAAACAATTGAAACAAATATGAAGATGGCTTGGAGACGCGGGGTATCGATCCCCGTACCTATCGCATGCAAAGCGATCGCTCTACCATGTGAGCTACACCCCCATGAATGACATCTTTCAAAGACTTTACTAGCTCACAAACTAAATTTTAGCTATTTCCCCTTCCGCCTTCGAGTGGCGCAAACATGGCGGCGCTGATGTACGGCTGCGATCTGTCGCACGACGAGCAATGGGGCCATCTCGCGTCCGACCCGTACCTGCGATTCACCGCCTCCTCGGTACGCCGCGCGCCCCTAGTGGGCGTGGAACGACGCAGTGCACGACAGGGCGGGTGGGGGGCGTGCCGCAGGGCGCTCGCTGCTCCGCGCAGGCCCCCTCTCGTCTCTCACCATCGTCGTCTTTCCTTCACATGCCCCCAGCCCTCGCCGGCCCTCAGCGCCCCCAGCCCTCGCCGGCCCTCAGCGCCCCCCCCTCTCCCCGCGCCTTTCATGTGTTCCCCCCGCGCCTGCCATGTGTCCCCCCCGTGCGCGCGTGTCCCCGCAGGTGCCGCGGGAGCGCAAGATCGCCAACGTGCAGAGCCTCGGCTTCGGCGCGCTCTTCGCGCCCACCCCTCCGCTCCCCGCCTCCGCCGCTTCCCCGCTCCTTTCACCCTCCGCATCCACCCTCCCATCCCCCACCTCCGCCGCCCCCGCTTCCTCCCAACCGCCCCCCGTGGTGCGCCATGCGCCGCTGCGCTGCGCCTTCTGCGGGGCGTGCGTGTGCCTCTACTCCGCCATCGCGCCCGCCACGGGCGACTGGCGTTGCGCTCTGTGCGGGCGGCCCAACATGAGCGGCGGGCACTACCTGCTGGCGGAGGGGGAGACGCTCGAGGGGTGGCCGGAGCTGGGCGCGCGCGTGGTGGACTACGTTGAGGCGGGCGGAGGGGCGCGCGGGGCGGGGGAGGGGGGGGTGGGGGGGGGCGCGTCGGAGGCGGTGCTGGGGGCGCCGGTGGTGGTGGTGGTGGACGAGGGGCTGGACGCCGCGTGCATGGGGGGAGTCAGAGCCGCGCTCACGGTGAGTGCATGGCGCACAGCACAGGACGGGTCACGATGATTCAATGGCAGCTCACTGTGACTGCAGACAACAGCCCATCCTCAATGCCTCGTCGTCCCTGCTGTTCCCCCCTCATTTCTTCCTTCCCCATGCCTTCCCCCCGCCCCCACCCCATGGCGCCCCATGGCAGGCCATGCTGCAGCACCTGCCATCCGCCACGCGCATCGCTATCATCACCTTCGGCGCGTCGCTCTCACTCTTTGACCTCTCGCCCTCCGCCTCGCCGCTGCTCGCCTCCGCCGACTGCTTCCCCGCCACACACGCGCTGCCCCCCGCCACGCTGGCCGCGCTGCTGCTGGGACGCGCGCAGCACCTCGCGCCCATCGCGGCCTGCCTGCCCTCCGCGCAGGCCGTCATCGCCTCGCTGCGCCCCTGCCGCGCCGCCACGCCGCCCCTCGCCCGCGCGCGCGCCCTGGGCCCCGCCGTGGAGCTCGCGCTCGCGCTGCTGCGCGGCCCCGCGCCCGCCCTGCCGCGCGCCCACCAGCGCCGCTGGAGCGGGGCGGCGCGCGTGGTGGTGCTGTGCGGGGGGCCGGCCACGGTGGGCGCGGGGGCGGTGGCGGAGGGCATAGAGGGCGTGGGGGAGGGCGAGGAGCGGCAGCGCGAGCAGGCGGCGCGGCGGCACTACGAGGCGCTGGGCAGGGAGGCGCGGGGCATGGGCGCCGTGGTGGACGTGTTCTCGGGGGGGCCCCTGCTCGTGCGCGTGCCCGCACTGCTGCCCCTGGCGGCGCTGTCAGGGGGCGCGCTGGTGCCGCTGGACGAGTTCAGCCCCGCCGCGTTCCCCCCGCTGCTGCTGCGCGCCCTCTCGCGCATCGTGGGCGCGGAGGGGTCGCTGGAGGTGCGCTGCTCGCCCGAGGTGGCCGTCACACGCGTGATCGGCCCTGCAGAGGCGGAGGAGGGCGGCGGGCGCAGGGGGGCGGGGGGGGAGGAGGGGTTCCCGGAGGACAGTGCAACGGCGGTGGTGCTGCTGAGTGTGGACGAGGAGGCGGCGGTGGCGGTGAGCATGGAGCTGACAGACGACCTCACCCGCCACCACGTGTTCTTCCAGTTCCTCTGCCGCTTCCGCCTCCTCAACCACGACCGTGAGTGCTGCCTGTGCCAGCCTGAGGGTGCGCCCACCACTCCTTGCCACCCTGCTGCTCGTTGTCACGGCCACGTGCTCATCTGAGCCGCACTGCACTGCTCTGCTCCTTCCTCTCTATCTGCCACGCGCCCACCCAGCCACTCAACACCCACATGCATTCGCGCTCATGCACATACGCACGCACACACCCCCATCACCCCGCAACCCCCCCTCCCCTTCCATGCAGTGGTGACGCGGGTGGTGACGGTGCGTCTACCAGTGGCGGCATCGCTACCGGCGTACCTCTCATCGGTGCACGAGCCCACAGCAGCGCTGCTCATCGCCAAGCGCACCGTGCTGGCGGCGCCCACAGCTCGCGAGGCGGGGGAGATGCGCGCGTGGGTGGACGCCCGTGCACGTGACTTGGCGCTCAAGCTGGGCGGCGTGGCACAGCACAACCGCTCCCTGCTGCAGTTCCCCCACCAGCTGCCGCGGTGAGTTGAGGGGGGGAGGGGTCACGGGCAGGTGGGGGAGGGGAGGGGAGGGTGTGCGATTGGCACAAATGCAGGGGGGCAGGTGGGAGGTAAGGAGAGGAGCGAGGAAGCAAGGGGAGGGTGTTTAGTTGCTGGGCTAATGGGCGAGCAGTGCACAGCAGAAGCCCCACCTGCCTTGGCCTTCCATTGCACATCTCACCTCCCCCCTCCACTCCGCACTTCTCCACCACCCCACCCCCGTGTGCAGGGTAGCGGAGGCGCTGTACGAGGTGAGGCGCAGCCCGGTGTTGGGGCGCCACGTGGCGGGCGAGTGGGAGCGCCAGGCCCTGCGCGCACTGCTGCTGCGCGCAGGGGGGGAGGCGGCACTGCGCATGGTGCTGCCCTCGCTGCTCATGTTCCGCGCCGGCCACGCCACCCAGTTCGTTGAAGTGCCGCCCTCTGACCTGGCGCTGACGTCAGATGCCGCCCTGGTGCTGGACCACGGCACCGACATGCTCATCTGGCTCGTGAGTGCCACCGCCCATGATGAGTGCCGCCGCCCATCATGAGTGCCGCCGCCCATCATGAGTGCCACCGCCCATCACGAGTGCCACCGCCCGTCATGAGTGCCGCCGCCCGTCATGAGTGCCACTTCCCCCTTGTCTCCTTCCCTCCACCCACACGCACAACCTCTGACTGCCACCGCCCTTCTTCCTCAACCCCACACCATTGCGCCATCTGCACCATGCCCCCCCACCCCCCCCTCCCTCTCTCCCCCCAGGGAGCGCACCTGGCGCCGGACGAGCCCACGAGGCGCGGAGTGGAGGCGGCGTGTCGCCAGCTGGCAGCGCAGCTCATGGGCGGGCCGGGCGGCAGAGGCAGGTTCCCGGCACCACGCGTACTCTGCTTCACTGTCAGTGCCAAAGGGGGGAATGGGTTAGGAGGGGGTGCTGGGAGGTGATCTATCTGGGTGTGCTCCTTCGTGTGCTCCCCCCTGCGCTCCCTGGTGTGCTTTAACTTCTAGCCCGCATCCTCGACCTGCACTCCCCGCTCACCCCGCCCTGTGCCCGCCCTCCCCATGACGGCATGGCAGGAGGGCACGGCGGAAGCGGCCTTCATGACGGCGCGCCTCACGCCCACACACAAGGACCCCCTTGCTGTTCAGGTGTGCATGCATTCCGTGCAGGTTATTGTTTGGGTGATTTTCCCTCATCAGCCATTGGTCAGGTGAGTAGCTGAGCAGCCAAGAGAGGTGTGGGTGATGACAATGACAATGTAGGGAGGGAGCATCCGACTCTGCAGTGCTGTTGCCTCTGCTCTGCTCCTGCCCACCTCCTCACTGCGTCTCACGATCCCCACCACTCCACCCCCACTGCTTCCTGCGTTCCTCCCCTCCCTGCCCGCCAGGAGCTGCTCTTCCCACCGCTGAGGGAGATGCAGGAGGAGGAGCGGGCAGCCGTGCGGGCCAAGCTGCCGCCCACCCCCGAGCCCGGCTTCACCGACTGGCTGCGCTCGCTGCGCCTCGCGCCCCCCCAACCCCCCCTCGCTGCACCCTCCTGATGCTCTCTGCATGCCTGCCTAGTAACCACTACCGTATGTATTATTTCCAATAAAGCCCTCTTGGGTCCGCTATTCTGGCTGTACATTGTTGATTAGAACAGTAACAGATGCAAGGAAGTAAGCCATATGCACGGGCGCATCGGAGCCAGCAGCAGCTTGTGGCAGGCAGGGCACCATGCATAGCAGCAGCATCAGATGTGGTCAATTGGAGCAGGGACATGTTTGTCGGAGCAGGTTCAGTCGCAACAAGCCGCTCTAACATCTCTAGTCTATTGAAATCATAATACACTAACTACCGGTATATCTAAAAGGTAACTAACTGGCTAGCCTAGTTCAAATTAAACATGAGCAAACGACTTGGTAAGTAGATCAGTAAAGCATACCGTACCGTACAATGAATTTAATGCAGCGTGCAACAAACACTTGTCAATAAGTGAAGCCTATGAGGAGAGCATCATGGGATGCGGTCGAAGGGAGTGGTGTCCTGGTAGCACACGTCCCACACCGCATCCACTGCCGCCCGCGCCCGAGCCATGCACGCCGCACTGCTGCTGCTAGACGCCTCGCTGCCACTGCAGCTTCCATTGGCGCTGCTGCCGTTGGCGGTGGTGGCGGCAGTGGTAGCGGCAGAGGGGGCCCCAGCATCAGCATCAGCATCAGCATGGGAGCAGAAGGGGTTCATGGCGACGGACAGCTGCGCCTTGCGCCGCACACACTGCTGCTTGCAGCAGCAAGAGAGGGGGAGAGCCAACAGAGAGAGAAAAGACGAGACAGTTAACGCTTGACGGCCCACATGGGAGATTGAGGGAGCAGGCATGAGGTGCGAGAGAGCAATCAGGTGGCTGCAACCCTCCCTCGCCTCACCGCCCCTTGCCTCACAGCCGCCCACCACCCTGGCCTTTCGACCAGAAGCACCCGCGCGTGGCAGGTGTGGCTCACCGGGTGGCAGGTGTGGCTCACCGGGTGGCAGGTGTGGCTCACCGGGTGGCCGTTGCGGAAGACAAAGTCAGACCCCCTCGTGTTGAACTCGCGGTGCATGTGGCACGCCCCACTCAGGTTGGCCGCTCGGATCTGATGCTCCATATGGGCATGCACGGCAGCACCGGGGCAGGCATGCATGGCAGGACGATATGGGCATGCAGGGTAGGACGATATGGGCATGCATGGCAGGATGACAGCACGGCACAAACATGTGCATGGCAGGCAAGTAACGAGGCAGCGAGCAGGGGAGCACCTCGCTGCAGGCGTGGTGTTGGAGATCAGGCCAGTGCAGGTTGGCAGCGCGGCAGTGGTCGAGGGCGTGCACGAGCTCGTGCGCCACCACCACGTCCACCTCGTCCTGCCCCCCCACGTGGTTCGCACACACCACCACCTGCCGTTCCCCGCACCCGCATGCACCCATGCACCCACGCCGCGCACACACAGGTGTTGCATTGGTCGTCACACAGGAACACATGAGCAGGCATGGCATGGGCTGCCATAGTGACACAGCATGGCAACAAGCGGCACGGTGGCTCATCTAACGTCAACCTTGCCCCTATGCTGACACAAGTCATCATTCTCGCCTTTACCCATCCCCCCAGACCTTCGATCCTTGCTCTCCCCCTTCATCCCATTTCCCCTCTTCCCTCTTCCCCCTCCCCACTCCCTCCCAGCGCTCACCCCCTCGCCAGGCATGAAGCCTCCGCCCGCCTGCTCGTCGCATCGGCGCGCGGAAAAGAACTCATCGCTCACGGCGCACCCGGCGCGCTCCAGCGACTCGCGGAGGAATCGGACCGTCGGATCTGGACGATGGGGCGCGGGGAAACGACAGTGGGCGCGGTCGGGATGAGAGGGACTCGAAGTGCGTTTGTTGAGAGGAAAGCGAGTGGCGCGTGCGCGAGGGCATGTGCATGTGGAGATGGGGTGAGAGGCTGCAGGGAGCGGGACGAACGGGAGGTCGGAGGAAGGGCGGGCGATGGGACAGAAGGCGGCAGTGCAAAGGGTGACAGGGCGAGGGCAAGAGCGCCACAAGGTGGCAAGGGGCAAGGCGCAGGGGCGGCTGAGCGGCGACACTCAACTCCATCGCAGGCAGCGCTTCAGCATCCGCTCGCCTGCCGCCACAGAAGCATCGCTGCTACGCGTCTGATCCGCCATACGATGAAACAAGGCGAAAGAATGCTTGTCAGGATTTAGTTGCGTATATTTATTAAATAAGAGTCGTGAAGGCTGCAGCGCCTGTAACTCAGTGGATAGAGTGTTCGCTTCCTAAGCGAGAGGTCCAAGGTTCGACCCCTTGCTGGCGCGAGACTTTTGTTGTATTGCCGTGCTAATCTGATTATGATTGACGCCATTTAACGGATGCTGAGGCGTTTCACCAGATTAGGCAGCGCTTCACCACTGACCTTCTTTCCCAAGATTTCACTCGAGGCTGTGTCTCCTAACCTCTGCTCTGCCATTTTGACAGCAACGCCTTCCAAGATTTCACTTCTGTCGTGTTCAGTGGACGTTCCAGAATGCCCTGAAGTGGCCCACACACCACAGGCACGCTCTGCTGCATTGTACATTGCCATGCAGTTCTCTTCCAGCTTTGGCAGTTGAGGTCCACCCAGTTGCACGCTTTGTAGTCAGGTTGTGTGGTTCATCCACTTGTGTTATAATACTGGTGTTTTAATACTGATGAAGGGCAACATCAGAATGTCAACACTGCTACATTACATGGACACTGTTCCCGGTTCTCAACTCCTCAAGCTGTGTTCTCTGCTGGCTGAATGGCCTAGAGCGTGAGGGGCACTTGTGGCGAGTAGGGGGTGTTGGCGGCGCCGCTGCTGTTCTTGGGCTTCTCCACCACGATGGCCTGTGTCGTCAGCACCATGCCCGCCACCGATGCCGCGTTCTGCAGCGCACACCGCGTCACCTTGGCGGGGTCGATCACTCCTGCACGCATGGGAGGGGAGGGAGTGTGGAGGGCAGATGAGTGACGAGCAGCGCAGGTGCTCATGGAAGTGCAGAGAACACAACACAACAGAGCTAACAAGCAGGGAGCGGCATGGGGCAAGCTCCTAGTGGCACAGCACGAGCAGGGAGTGGCGCGGGGTAAGGGGTGAGCAGGGAGAGGAGCACGGACCGGAGGCGAGGAGGTCTTCATACTGGTCGGCCATGGCGTTGTACCCCATCTCCCACTCGCTCTCCCTCACGCGTTCCACCACCACCGCGCCCTCCACACCCGCGTTGTGGGCAATCAGTGAGCACGGTGCCAGCAGGGCGCGCTCCACGATGTCGGCTCCGATGCGCTCCTCCGCGTCCGTGAGCTGCGCCTTGAAGGCCGGCACCAGCGCTGCCAGGTGCACCATGGTGGCGCCACCGCCCGGCACGATGCCCTCCTCGATGGCGGCGAAGGTGGCGTTCTTGGCGTCCTCAATGCGCAGCTTGCGGTCCTCCAACTCCGTCTCCGTTGCCGCCCCCACCTGCCATGCCACAAGGGGGGTGAGCGCATGGCATGCCGTGTGAGTGGCAACTGGTGTGCACAGAAGTGGAGCGCGTGTTCCTGCAGTTCTCACGAGCTATATATCCCCAACCCCGCCACAGCACCCAGCACCCAGCAAGCAGCAGGCAGCAGGCATGGCACGCACCTTGATGACAGCCACGCCCCCAGCGAGCTTGGCAATGCGCTCCGAGAGCTTCTCCGTGTCGTAGACGCTGTCCGTCTCCTGCAGCTCGCGCTTGATCTGCGCCACGCGGGCCGCGATCTCGTCCTTGGTGGCGCTGTCAGCAATGAGCGTTGTGCTGCTGCTGCTGATGGTCACCTTCCTCGCCACTCCCAGCTGGTCCGCCGTCGCCCCCTCCACCTTGAGCCCCAGATCAGACGCCATGAACTCCGCCCCTGCAGGGAGGGGACGAGTGGATGAGGGAGCGGAGGGATGGGGCGCCAGGTGAGCACACGCACACACCCGTGCAGACACACACACACACACACACACACACACACACACACACACACACACACATGGGCGAGCACGCGCGCACACACACAAGCACACCCACGCAATCACCCACACACTCACTCACTCACACACACACACACACACACACACACACACACACACACACACACACATGCGAACACGCTCTTGCATATGCATACACACATTTGGTTCATCTCTTATTTTCCTTCTTCAACCAGCCCATGCCCTGCCCTCCCCCACCCCCCACCTGTGACGATGGCGATGTCCTGCAGCAGCGCCTTGCGGCGTTCACCGAAGCCGGGCGCCTTGATGGCGGCGACCTGCAGCACGCCGCGCAGCTTGTTCACCACCAGCGTCGCCAGCGCCTCGCCCGACACGTCCTCCGCGATGATCAGCAGCGGCGCCGACAGCTGCGACGTGCGCTCCAGCACGGGGATGATGTCCTTGATCGCCGTGATCTGCGCCGCGCGTGCGCCCGAGGGGGAGAGGGAGGGGGGGGAGGGAGGTGGGGAGCGGGGAGTGAGTGCGTCAGCCAACAGTCGATAGTGCAACTGGGCGCTGAGCGTGCGAGTGGCGAAGAGCGCGTTGGAGTCATGGGGAGTGCGGAGCACAAGCGCGACGGGGAAGGCGGGCTACATGGTGGGGGAGGGAGATTCTTAGTGACCAGTAGACGCCGGCTGGTGCTTATTGTGTTCTTTCAGTCTCACGATTCCAACATTCTGCTTAAACCGGCAATACGAACCAATCCAACAGCAGGCGTACTGACCTTCTGGTCCGTCACGAGCACGCGCGCGTTGTCGAACTCGACGAGCATCTTCTCCGTGTTCGTCGCGAACTGTGGCGAAATGTAACCGCGGTCGATCTGCGCACCCGGGGAGAGGGAAGGGCGCGGAGGAGTTGGGGAGCAAACCGGGCGAAGGGGGATGAGTAGGTAGGACGGCATGTGAAGCGGGCGGAAGGTGGGACCCGTGGGGAGCGAATGTGCTAAGTAGGAACCGCGGAGCGGGCACACGGGCAAGAAGCAAGCGGACGGGGAAGAAGCGCAACTCACCGCCATGCCTTCCTCGACGTCGACGGTGGTTTCGAAGGACGAGGAGCTTTCGATGGAGAGCACGCCGTCCGCGCCCACCTTGTCCACCGCGTCTGCGATCATCTCGCCGATCTCGTCGTCGTTGCCCGCGCTGATCGTCGCCACCGCTGCTCGCCCAAGGGGGAGGGTACGGCACGCGCACGGTGACAGATGGGTGAAGGTGGGGAACGGGGAGGGAGAGGGTGCGAGAGATGAAGTGAGATTGGGATGCTTCGAGAGCGGCGAGTCTCGCAGACTGCCACACGCACGGCGCGTGAGAGCTGATCAGCCAGATTCGAGACTCGTGCTTTCAGAAAGGCATCGCCAGAGCCCCAAGTCTAGGGTTTTCCTGCAACCGCGCCCGCCGCACGCACCCTTAATATCGTCGCGGCCCTTGACGGGGCGCGCGCGATCCTTGAGCGACTCGACGAGGTGCGCAACGGTCTTGTCAATGCCCTTCTTGAGCGCCACGGGGTTGGCGCCCGCCGTAACGTTGAGCAGCCCCAGGTTGATCAGCGCGCGCGCCAACACGCTCGCCGTCGTCGTGCCGTCGCCCGCCGAGTCGTTCGTGCGCGAGGCCACCTGGCGGGCGGATGTGATAGTAACGGGGGATGTTTTAGCGGGGTGTGATGGGCGTGCAATTCGAGCGGCAATATGCTGCAAGGCTGCACGGCTGGCTAGGGGAAGAATGCTGAAATACAATCCCCAGAACCCTGGTTGCTTTATCCTTTACCCTAAACCTGCTATCTCCAGGCATCTCTCACCTCGCGGATGAGGGCGGCGCCGGCGTTCTCCATGGGGTCGGGCAGCTCGATGGCCCTGGCGATGGTGACGCCGTCGTTGATCACTTTGGGCGCGCCGAACTCGTCCAGCACCACATTGCGACCTGCGACCCGCACCAGGAAAACACTCTCATTGCCTCAACTCACGCGCTGCCAATACTGGCGGCTGACAGAATGGATGGTGTGACACTTGGGCGATGATGCCACCAACTGTTTCGTGTGAAACGATTGCTGATCGGACGACGATTCCTGATCACATGACACAATCCTGGTCGTGCGAGAGATCCCTGGTCATACGAGAGATTCTTGGTCGATCGAGAGATTTCTGATCGTACGAAAAATTCCTGATTGTACGAGAAATCCTGGTCGTACAAAACTATCGTACGATATGTTGACAGATCGTACAGCAGATTCACTGATCGTACAGTATAATGGCTCATCGTACGATGGATTGGCTTATAATAAGGGAGATTGGCTGATCGTACGGTAGATTCGCTGATCGTACGATATGTAGGCTGATTGTACAACGGAGCGGCTGATGGGAACGTCGGCCGACAACACGACCGACGACTCGCCGTGCTCAGTTCGTGACCCGACACAACTGGTGAGCTCCTAGTGCTGGCGAGCATGGCGGCCGTGACACAGGCAAGTTGTGCTTCGCGAGCCGAGGAGCGAGCTTATCAGCGTACCTCGCGGGCCGAGCGTGACTCCCACGGCGTCCGCGAGCTTGTCAATGCCGGACTGCATGGCGGACCGCGCCGCCTGGTCGAACAGAATGTCCTTCGCCTCCGCGCGCACCCGCAGCGACCGCCGAGTGCGCGCCGTGACGGGCGAACGGGCGATAGACGCAGCCAGTTGGCGACTGCCTGGCGCTAGAGACGCCGCTTTGCTTATCTGCACGTGGAGGGAAACGGGGGGGAGGGGAGGCGGGGGGGGGGGGGGGGGGGGGGGGGGGGGGAAGAGGAGGGGGAGGGGGGGAGCAAGGGAAGAGGGGAGGGATGGGGAGGAATCGCCGTCAACGGCAATTAATAAGTGCCGCTGCATGGGAACACCACAATACATATACGCCCAAGTGCATGGTTGATGAGAGGTTGCTGTAATTGCAACAAACTACAACGTCAATCTGCAAATGCCGTTTGCTGTAATTGCATCCTTGCACGGTCGGCTACCTTCGCGGGCACTGCAGTTTGAGCTGCTGCCATGCTATGGGTCAAGCTGGACGCCATGACCGAGGTCTTCTTCGACAAGCACGATAGCAGGAACAGTCGCTCACGGAAGCGCGAAGAGACAAGTATGAGCGTCTGGCGAGGAGAGCAGTGGCGATGTTGCGATCGTGTTAGGAAAAATGAGTGAAGCTGAGGTTGATGTGACTAGGAGCAATGGTGGGATGGGGAGGCGTAGGGAAAGGAAGAACCTCGAGTTTCAGCCTAGCAGCATTCGGCCACGAGGGACGCCACGTGGAAGAAGAGTCGCTGATATTCCAGAAGGCCACTCTCAGAAGGTTCTGTTGAACCTTTCCACGCGGCAAGGTTTAGGTCAAATCTTGCCAGCGTGGTGTCCACGTTGCCATCAACCCTCCGTAAATCGCCGCCTTTCCGCCCTTTCGAGAAGATCTAATTGCTGCTCGCTAATAGCTATCACAAGCTCCTAGGTAGTCGCTCACTACAAGAAATGTTTGAGTCAGTTACATGCAATAAAATGTAAGACCACACTTTTCTTCCCATACGTACTTATTACAGAAAGAACATGATGGTCTCGATCAGTTTCTTGCCGAGAACTTGTAATAGATTAAGCATGCCCCGCATATCCAGTCCTTCATTTTTATTAGAAAAATATTGGTTTAGAAGTACTAATCGTGTCTTAGATAAGAAAAATCATATCCAGCACACCTTTATGTGCATTCTTTTATTTATATCCAGCAGATAAAATAGTTACCCCCCCCTATTATTGGGTCCACTTGAAATCTCATACTAACTTTGTAATGCTTCTTGTCGGTGTGTTTTATGTGCATTGTTTTCTTTATATGGTACTAGTTTAATTGTATGGGATTTTAGGCTCTTTAGTGAACAAATCTCAATAAGGCCCACATCCAGAAGCCCGTTTCAGTCACCTTCAACTCACACCGTAAAACCTCGAGAACGTCGCGAACGCACGTGGGCAGCAGTTGTCGCATGGAAACCCCAAAGGAGCGTCGCATGCTACTGCAGAGCCATCGCAACTTCCAGCATGTTTCACACGCGAAACCTTCGCAGCATCGACATGGCCTCCTCGCGAGTGCGGTTTTGGCAGCCCGGCCGACACGTCACTGATGCGAGCACCCAGTTCATCATGGCGGAGCGGAGGTGGTCGGCGGGAACTGTTCACATTGTGGACCTTCCGCCGTGTGCTTCCGCCTGCAGCGAGCGACCTTTTGCAGCCTTGTGTTCCGCAGTCCGTTGGGTCCCCCTGCAGTGCTTCCAGCCATAGCTCCTTGTGATCGAATATACCTCGCCGTTTTCACCACATGCTGCCATTTGTGAGGCGATAATATGCTTCAGCCTGACGGTTAGTCGGCCTTAGAGGTTGTTCTCTGAAGCCTATGGGCTCGTCCTATTGCTCCGGTGCACGAGGGAATTCGACGGTTGAGGATTCCGTAGCGAGGCTATGCAGTAGTCTGGGTGCAGGAAATGGGAAGCCTCAATCTCGGATCTTCGCAATCCCCTGCGATTAAGGATCATGACGTCGACGGCCTTGGTTCCGGCCTTTGGAATTTAGATCTTAGTCAGGAACAAACGGACAGCTCAAAGGCCAGCTTCGGATTAGACGGAGCGACTGACCTATTTGGTGCGAGGCAGGAGTCGGAATCCCGATCGGCGCCAGTGACGGCCGCTTGGATGCCTCGGCAAGGAGCGTTCTCCGTGGTGGCGCGCGTGTCAAACGCGCATGCGGAGCAGAACGGCGAGCAGCGGCAGGAATCGAACCAGCGGACGCCAGTAAGTCCGAGGAGCCTCGCCGTCACCCGTTGCTGCTTGCAGAACTTGCTTCTTTAGTGCCTGCTTGGCAAGTAGGTGTCAATGACCCAAGTCCTCCAGATTGACCACGTCAGTCAGCTGTCAATCGCCAGCCGAGTAACCATGGAGGATGGTGGACCAGTGGAGTTTCCGGGACCGTTGGAACGAGAAGCATGGTCCACACGTGCCATGAGCCCGTTTTATGAGCAATTTGTGGATTTTTTTGTAACGGATGCAAACTGCCGTCGCGACCGTTCGATGCGTGATGCTCAAACGGCTGGGACTTGCGGTGTCAGGGCGGCTGAGAAATTTCAGTCTCAATTTCTGTAGTCTGCCACGTCTAGGGCGTGTCGTGACTCTGGCAATCCTCTCGGCCGAGGGCGCGTCATGACCATCGCATCCAGCCCTAGACATCCTTCCGCTCACTTACCTCAATGTCGCCTCCAGCTCTTACACCAGCACTGGTCGCATCGTCACTGCTCTAGTCCACCGTTTTAGCCATTAGTGGCAATATGAACCGTTTGTTCTTCTCACTGCACGCCTGGACATTCCTTTCCCCCTCGTCGTGCTTGCCTCTCCTCACGTTCGTGATTCCCGCGCCAATCTGCTTGTTACTTCTCTGACGCTTTCCGTTTTCTTGACAATGCTCCCCTGTGTTTTCTTCTCTCCTTCCATCCTGTGCATTCCGCCCCTCATTCTCCCACCCCCCCCCCCCCCACGCTGTGCCCCCCCGTGCCAGCTGGTGGTGCGGATGACGGCGGGGCTCAAGCACACCTACTCCGCCTGCAACGACGCCTCGCGCGCACACATCGCCGCCCACCATCCCTCCTCAAACCCCGCGCCCGCCGTTCCTGACCAACCCGCGGCTCGCGAGTATGGCTCGCCGGAGGGCGGAGCAGGTGACGGCGAGCGGGCGGCGCGCGTGGTGCTGACGAAGCCGTCGGAGGCGGCGGGGAACGAGGGGTGGGACAACGCCAACTCCGACCTCATCCTCTCCACGGGCCTCGTGCTGCACGGCGATCCCGGCACCCCCAGGTGACGCCTCGTGCTGCACGGCGATCCCGGCACCCCCAGGTGACGCCTCGTGCTGCACGGCGACCCCGGCACCCCCAGGTGACCCCCGCACTTGGCTACACGGCGCTGCCCACCGCGTTACCCGCACGCACATGTGCGCTGCAGGCTGCTCCGCGACCCCCATGCGCCCTTCACTCGCCTCCCGCAACCTTCACCCAGGCATTGGTCCCAATCTCAAACTCATTCTCATTCGGTTTAGACACTTGGAGGGGCCACGCACGATCTTGACGGCAGCGAGGTGTGCTCCAGGACACGCTCGTCCTCATCGCTTGCTCATCCCCCCCTTCCCTCCCCCGTCTCGCGGGTTCCGCGCAGCTACGTGGTGCGGGACGTGTTGGGGCAGGGCACGTTCGGGCAGGTGGTGAAGTGCGAGTGCGGGGAGACGGGCGAGGTGGTGGCGGTGAAGGTCATCAAGAATCAGCCCGCCTACTACCACCAGGCGCTCGTCGAGATCAGCATCCTCCGCCTCGTGAGGCCCCTTTGCTCTGCCACACCGCACACTGTTGAGACTGTCATTGCTGGGCATGTGGGACTGCTCTGCTAGCTGTGCCACCGTGCATTGCGCTCACTGGCGGGTGACACGCTATTGCATTGCAACTTCTGCTTCACACACCCCATCCCTGTTCCTCATTCTGCTGCCCTCCCCTTCCCCCTCCTTTCTCCCCTTCCTCTGTGCTGGGAGCAGTTGAACGGGTCGTTTGACCCGCAGGACGAGCACCACATAGTGCGACTGGTGGACCACTTCGTGTGCCACAGCCACCTCTGCATCGTCTTCGAACTCCTCACCTACAACCTGTCAGTCACCTGCCCGACCCCTTTCCCTCTCCCTCGCCCCCACCCTCGTGCACACGCCCACCACACCCCTGCCACGCGCGCGGGCTCTTCGTCCCATAGCAGTATGCGTTGTAGCATTGCATTGCGTAGCTCTCCCTCGCTCACCTTTGCGTGTTCCATGCTGTGTGCAGCTTCGAGCTCATCCGCCAGAACCAGTTCCGCGGCCTCTCTCTCAAGCTCGTGCGCCTCTTCACCAAACAGGTGCGCCTCTTCACCAAACAGGTGCGCCTCTTCACCAAGCAGGTGCGCCTCTTCACCAAGCAGGTGTGCTGCCACCCTCCCTGCACATCACACCGCCCTTCGTGATTGACTACACATTACTCACACCTTGGTTGTCAACACGCCTCCCGCTTCTGAGTACCTCCTCCATGTTGCCTCTTCCTCCCGCCTTCCTCTCCGCGTCTTCCCTTCTCATCCTCTCTGCTGCCACCCTCTTCTCCCCCGCCCTGCCCCTGCCTCCTGCCACGCCATCCCCCACGGGGGTGCAGCTGCTGGTGGCGCTGACGGTGTTGGAGGATGCGCGCGTCATACACTGCGACCTCAAGCCCGAAAACATCCTCCTCAAAAGGTACGCCCCGCACCCCAAGCTTTGCTCTTTTGGCTCATCATTCACTGTCATCGACGCCCGCCCCCCTCACCGTCGCTTATGCCCTCCCCCCCCCCCTGCTCCGCATCTCCTGCTCACCTGCCCCATGCTCACCCCAGCTTGGGCGGCGAGATCAAGCTCATCGACTTTGGCTCTGCCTGCACTGAGAATCGAACTGTGTACTCTTACATCCAGGTGCACCCCGGGCCCACTCCCACATGCATGCACCCCACCACCATAAGCTATGCTGCATGTACGAACAACCACTGATTTCTGCCCTCCTGCTCTGACTGTTTCAGGCCGCGTGTCTGCACTCGCCGCACGCCCCTCCCATGCCCCCTCACCTCTCCCCGGCCTCTGCGACCCCATGTGTCCCCCCCTCCCCACCTTCTCCTCTCCCCCACCAGAGTCGGTTCTACCGGTCGCCGGAGGTGGTGTTGGGGCACGCGTACGGCACGGCCATTGATCTGTGGTCGCTGGGCTGTGTGGCGGCGGAGCTCTTCCTCGGCCTGCCGCTCTTCCCTGGCGCCTCCGAGTTTGACATGCTGCACCGCATGGTCGAAACCATGGGGTCCGTCACCACTCTGCACACACTGACTCCTTCTGCTGTCCCTGCTGCCTTCAACCATGCTCCTCTGCATGAAACGTCCTCTATATTTATTGATCCCTACTTTCTTTTCCCGATAGTAGTATTCCACGCTCTCATTTCTTCCCCTCCCGCGTTTCTTCACCTTTCCTGCTCCCTCGCTGTGCCATGCAGCTGCCAGCCGCCCGATGCCATGTTGAGGCGTGCCAAGCACACGGCCAAGTACTTTGTGCGCACAGCAGACGCGGGGGGTGGGGGGGAGGATGGGCGCGGTTCAGCGTACCGCCTGAAGACGGTGGAGGAGGTGGTGGCGGGGGGGGAGGCGCGCCCGGCGCTGGGGAAGAGGTACTTTCGGCAGACGGCACTCAGCGACCTCGTGCTGGGCTATGCGCTGCGCCGCGGGGAAGGGGCGGAGGAGGCGCGGCAGGAGCGGGCAAGCCGAGTGGCGTTTGTGGACTTTCTCTCGGGCCTGCTCCACATGGACCCCGCCCAGCGCTGGACCGCCCGCCAGGTCTCCGACCCCCGCAACCCCGCCTCCATGCGCTTTGCTGGCCTCTTTGCTTGTTTCGCCTCCCTGCTCTCTCTCTTCTGCTCCCGTTTCCTCCTCTCTCCCTCTTTCTCAAAGTATCACCTCCTCTCTACCCCACATCGATCCCTCCGTGGCCCGTTGCGACTGGCAGGCGGCACAGCACCCATTTATCACGGACGAGCCATGGATGGGGCCCTTCCAGCCACAGCGCCAGGTGAGCTCACCTCTGCCTTCCGCACCTCACTCCTCCCGCTGCTCTGCAATCGCTCTGCTTGACTGCGTCATGCAACTCACTCCCGTGGTCAACACGTGCATCCCCCCATGCGTCTCATCCCCGCTTCAACCCGCCCCGCAGCAGCAGCAGGTGGACGCCACCGAGGCCGCTCAGCTGCAGCCGCTGCACAGGGAGGGTGCCTCGCGCCTCGCGCAGCAGCAGCAGCAGCATGCGCGTGTGCTGCAGCACAGGCAGTCGCTAGGAGCTCAGGAAGCAGGGCGGGGAGGGGCGTTGGAGGGGGGCATAATGGCAGGCAGCCTGGGCGGGGCAGCGGGCGTGGGAGCAGCACTGCCGCCCGCCATGGCTCTGTCTGGACCTGCTCCTGCTGCCATGCCCGCCGCCCTTGCTCCTGCTGCTCTGGCCATGGGTGCAGGCATGGGGCCAGGCATGGGAGCAGCAGGCATGGGCGAAGGCGGATATGCGAGCATGGGGGGGTATGGCGTGCCCCTCGGGCTGCCCCACAACTACGGCCCTCTGGGCGCCAGTGTGGGCTCCTACGGCAGCCTTGGCAGCCTTGGCAACAGCTTTGGCGCCATGGGGGGTTTGGGAGGCATGGGGAGTGTGGGGGGCATGGGGGGCGTGGCGGGCATGGGAGGGATGGGAGGGATGGGGGGCGTGGGGAGTCTGGGAGGGGTGGGCAGTCTGACAGACCCCACAGGCTCCTACATGGCGTATGCTGCGCACCTTGCTGCGGCAGGGCAGGGGGCGGACTTGGGGTCAGGGTCGTTTGGAGCAGCGGCAGGAGCAGCAGGTGCGGGAGGTGGTGGAGGGCTGGGGTTAGGATTAGGGTTAGGGTTTGGGCAGAGCCCGGACACACGGCAGCTGCTGCCTGCGCTGGCCAGCATGAATCAAGCAGCGCAGCAGTGGCAGATGGGCCAGCTGGGGCAGGCCGGGCTGGCGAATCAGGCAGGTCAGGTGAATCAGCTGAGTCAAGCAAGTCAATCGAGTCTCATGAGTCAGATGCCGTCCAGCCCTCTGGGTCCCGGGAGGGGCTCGTTGCAGCAGTACCAGCAGCAGCACCTGCAGCAGCAGTTTCAGCAGCAGTTTCAACTGCAATTGCAGCAGCAGCAGCAGCAGCAGCAGCAGCAGCAGCAGCAGCAGCAGCAGCAGCAGCAGTATCAACAGCTGCAGAGGCTGCATCAACAGCAGCAGATGCAGCAGATGCAGCACCAGCAGCAGCACCAGCAGCACCAGCAGCACCAGCAGCAGCAGCACCAGCAGCACCAGCAGCAGCACCAGCAGCACCAGCAGCACCAGCAGCAGTCATCGCAGCAAAAGCGGTCGTCCCTGCATGAGCAGCTGCAGAGTTCTCACTCCCTGCAGCCCTCGTCTGCATCCCTGCTCTCCGCCCAGTTTCGTTCACAACAGGTGGCAGACGGCAGCACAGGCATGGGCATTGGCACGGGAGTGGGAATGGGCATGAGCATGAGCATCCCCGCAGCTGCCACCCTTGCAGCCCCCGGCGCCGTATCTGCTGGCGGCAGGCAGCAGGAGAGGCGGGGCAGTGGTGGGGGGGTGTGGCAGGGCATGGGGAATGAGGGTGCGTATGTGCCCTTGGGGCAAAGCCCTGGCGGGCCTTTCCTGGACGGGGCAGGGCGAGGGGGAGGGGGGTACTGGGGGGGGAGGGAGGGCGAAGTGGCAGTGAGCAGCAACTCGCTGCTGGGAGCCAGTCCGTTGCAGTTCACCCCTCCCTCCCACTCGCGCCACTTCCCATCCTCCCACTCGCACCAGCACCAACTCCAACAGCAGCAGGGTGGGCGGCAGGGACACCTGCAAGTGCGTGTGAGTGAGCCCACAACGCCCTCCTCCCCCACCACCTCCTCGCCTCACTTCTCCCCGTCCTCGCTCCACCCTGACTTCTCCTCCCCGCTGGCCCGAGGGTCAGTGGGGCAGGCGTCCTCTCTGGGCCCCAGCGGCAGCACCCACCCTACCAGCCACAATCCGGGCGCAGGGCTGCCCTCCCCCGCTGCTAGAGGGCTGGCGGGTGCAGGGGCAGGGGGGATGGGGTTGAGTGTTGGCAGGGGCGGAGCGGAAGGGGGGATTGCACTGGAGAAGGCGGCTGTGATGGGACAGTTCCAGAGGCGGCAGAGTGAGGTGATGCGGTTGATGGCCATCATGCAGCAGCAACAGGAGCAGGAACAACTGCAACTGCAACAGCACCTGCAGCTGCAGCAGCAGCAGCAGCAACAGCACCAGCACCAGCAGCAGCAGCAGCAGCAGCAGCAGCAGCAGCAGCAGCAGCAGCAGCAGCAGCAGCAGCAGCAGCAGCAGCAGCAGCAGCAACAGCAACAGCAACAGCAGCAGCAGCAGCAGCAACAACAACAACAGCAGCAACAGCAACAGCAATTGGAGCAGCAACAGCAGCAACAACAGCAGCAGCAGCAACTGCAGCTACAACAAGAAACGGAAGAGTTGAAGCAGAGACAGGTGCAGCAGGAGCAGCGTAAGGGGCAGCGGGGAGGGATGGCAAGGGTGGAGCACGGGGCAAGAGAGGCCGCGAGTGAAGGTGCTGGCGACAGCAGGAGCGGCAAGGGGGGTGGGCACGGTGCAGAGAGTAGCAGCAGGCAGCATGGCGTGCATGCAGGGAGGCAGGCGCTTGCAGGGCAGGGGGATATAGTGGGGGAGGGCTGTGCCCGTGTGAGCATGCAGGGGGGTGCACAGCTGCCAGAATCTTGGGAGGCAGCTGCTGGTGGTGCTGGTGGTGGTGAGGGTGGTGGTGGTGGCGAGGGTATAGCTGGTGTGAGCCTGGGGCTGGGGCTGGGGCTGGGCTCGCACTACAGCAGCATTGATAGGAGCCAGGAGAGCGGGCGCACAGCAACAGGTGCGGCGAGTGATGCACACGAGGGGAGAAGGGGCGAAGGGGAGGGAGGGGGAGGAGGAGCGGGGTGGGAGAGGGGAAAGAGCAGTTCAGCAGGCGAGGGGGATGGGCCTGCGGAGTGGGACCCGTACTTCTGTGATGATCTGCTGCTGCACCCCCCCCAACCCCACTCCCACCCCCACCAGCCACCCTCCACTGCTGCCACCACTGCCGCTGCTGGTGGTAGTGGGAGTGGGGTCATGGCGGGTGGGGGAGTAGGTGGCAAGGGGTGGTGGGGGGAGCAGGAGGGTGGGGGGACGGATGAGGGGCAGGGGACAGGAGGCGTGGGTGGGGTTGCGTGGCAGGTGAGAGGCAGTGGGCATGGCAGTGGACCCAGCTCTATGGAGGGAAACACTCACGTGGGCTCGCATGGGTATGTGGGCTCGCATGGGCATGTGGGGTCACACGGGCATGGGGGGCACACCATTGCCCCCCCTGCTGCCTGGAGCCCTCTCAACGCTGTCTACATGCAACCTGCACCCACCACGGATGCTGCTGTTCCTGCCGCTGCGGCAGTGGGTGTGTTGTCAGCTGCTGCTGCGCATGGAGGGCATGGCGGGGCGGCAGCTGGGCGGGGCAGTGGCGGGTCGCTGGGAGCTATGGACTGCTCGCCTCTTGCTGCTGCTGGCGCCTTGATGTGGTGAGTGGGGCAGGGAGTGCCAACGCCACGTTATGCCACTTCCTCTGCACCATGCCCATGTGCTTGTCTCCAAGGCATGAGCATGGCACTGTTTCCCATGCCTTGTGTTCCGATGCTCTATGTTCTCCCTGCCCTGTGCCACCCCTCCCACGTGCAGGTCTCGCCCCTCTGCCATGGCCAGTGGCTCGTCCGCCCCACACCACTACCGCGCTGTCACTGACCACCCACACGCCCCGCTCGCCCTGCCACACCACACCGCTGCCGCTGCTGCTGCTGGCGGTGCAGGCGCTACACACAGTGAGCGATGGCGAGGAGGGGAGGATGAGGGGGATAGCAGCGCAGAGGGATTGGCGGGAATAGATGGAGAGGTGGAGAGCGGTGCGGAGCCCATGGGCATATCTCCGGTGCAGGCAGGGCAGCTGGGCCACTGGTCTGCCGCTGCTGCCGCCGCTGCTGCTGCTGCCGTGGCAGGCCAGCAGGGGGGAGGCGGGTGGGGTGGTGGCAGGGCAGGGGGGGCTGCAGCAGGGGTGGGGGCAGGAGGGGGAGCACCAGAGACGGGGGTGGGGGGAGGGGTGGGGAGAGGGGTGACCAGTGGGATGGGAGTGGTGGGGGCGGTGGGGGTGAGTGTGGGGATGGGGAGGGGGTATGGGGGAGGGAGGGGGAATGCCAGAGAGGGGGGCCGTCAGGGCAGAGGCATGGGAGGAGGCATGGGGTTGGCAGAGGTGGCATGGCTTGGGTAGCATGTGCACTCGATGACGCCTGCTGCCTGCTCCCTGGAGCACTCTGGGTTCTGTCTACACGCACGCACATGCACACAAGTTGCCATGCTATCAGCTGTACAAGACATGTGGCTTACAGCTAGCAAGTGGGTACGCACAATCTCACGAGATTGGTTCGCTCAGTTTACAGTGCTTTGTTCAGCACCTGCTGCTATGTGTGCATCTACACTGCGTTTTCTTACTCATCACAAGGGGTTTCTGATTTTCTCCTTTCAGGAGTGCAATTAGATGGAAAAGTGGAATGGAAATTGAAATCTTGTTTTAACTATTCTGAGTTAAACTGTTGCGAAGTATGGCATGTAATAACTCGGGCTACACCGCGAGGCTGTGTTCATTTGAGCTGTGCGGTATGACAGGGCGACTATGTCGCGGTGCCCTCGCCTTTCAACACAGACAGCTATTTGAAACTCAGAAGCCACGCAAAGGGTGTCTCGTAAGCGCGTGGCAGAGCGCGTCGCAAGGCGCTTAAGATTTCTTTGAGGCGGCCCGTACGCCAACATTGTTACCAGCAGCGGCATGATCGGTCACGCCTAGAATTGATCCTCTCATTCCTCTCGCTAAACGGACACCTCACCTCCCTGCTCGCGCCTGCGTCGATTCGCCGTCATTCCTTGCGACCCGCCTTCTTCCTTTCGTCGCTCGCCTACCTCTGCATCCCCCCCCTTGCGTCTCCCTAAACCCTACACCCGGAACCTTGTCCCAACCCGGAACCTCGCCTCATTTCCCTTGTCTACACCCCTTGCCGCTCCCCGCGTCTATCTCGGGCCGCTATGCCTGCGCTTCCGCCCACCCTGGCGGCAGCCGCGCCGGTGGCATGGGGCGGCGGCAGTCTGGTGGATGGGCGCGCGGCGTTCAGCGCGGACGGCCAGCGCCTGCTCTGCCCGTGCGGGGCCGTCGTCCGCGTCTTCGCGCTCGCCTCCGCCACCCAGGTGCGCATCCCGCCGCCCAGGTGCGCATCCCGCTCCGAGGTGCTCTCCCCGCGCTCGAGGTGCGCCCCGTGCATGCGGCGCAATAAACCCCGAACTCGCGCAGTTGACTCGCCCCCGTGCGTCCGAAGCAGTCCTCACAGCCGTTCCGATGCCGCATGCTCGTTCCGCACCCCCTCGCCTCAACCCCTCAACCCCCCGTCCCCCCAACCCCTCCTCCACCCCCCCCGGCAGGTGGCGGTGCTGCAGGGCCACACGGCGCTCGTCACGTGCGTCTCCACCTCCGCCGTCGCCCGCTCGCCCGCCGCATCCGCCGCTGCCGCTCGCGGCGCTGATGACGACGATGACCACATGGGGATCAACCCCCCTGCTGACGTGTCAGCTCCAGACTCTGCCACGTCATCGATGGTGTACGCGTGGAGCGGGTCGCTGGACGGAACGATGCGGCTGTGGAACTTTGTAACGGGGGCCTCGCTAAGAGTGCTGCACCTGGGCCGACCAATCAGAGACCTTGTGAGCGACTTTCACTCTCTGGATCGCACCATACACCCACCCACGCCTGGGATCCGATTCGCACCTCCTTCCCCGCGCCACCGCCACCAATCCTCCTCCCCACTACCCTCCTCGCTTCCCTGCGTACCCTCTCTCTGCACTCGTCTCCTTTCCCCTTCACTCTCCCTCTCCTCCCCCCCACTAACCACAACGCCATGAGCAGGTGATGTATCCGTATGCGAGCACGGAGATGGTGGAGGGGGCGGGCGGGCGCGAGGAGGAGAGGGCGGTGGCGCCGGTGGCGTTGGTGGTGGTGAGCAACGAGCAGCGCGGCTGCGACCTGCTGCACTACGACGTTTTCCAAGACCGCTGCCTCAGAACGCTCTTCCACCAGGTCGCTCCTCCACCAGGTCGTTCCTCCACCAGGTCGCTCCTCCACCAGGTCGCTCCTCCACCAGGCCTTTCCTCCACCAGGTCGCTCCTCCACCAGGTCGCTCCTCCACCAGGTCGCTCCTCCACCAGGTCGCTCCTTCACCAGGTCGCTCCTCCACCAGGTCGCTCCTCCACCAGGTCGCTCCTCCACCAGGTCGCTCCTCCACCAGGTCGCTCCTCCACCAGGTCGCAACCTGCTCCTCGCCTGTGCGCGCCCGTCTCTTGCACGCTTTGCATGCCATGCTGCCGTGCGCCCCACTCACGCCACTTCGCCCCTCTCCCCATCAACTCAACCCGCCCTGCCTGCCCCTGCTCCTCTCCCACTCTCTTCCCTTCCTTCCCCCCACCTCTTCCCCCTTCCTCTCCCCCTCCGTGCAGCTGCTCGTGTCCTCCCCGCTGGCCATCAGCCCAGCGACGGGGCGCCTGCTGGCGGTGGCGTCGGGGAGGAAGGTGTTCGTGGCGCACTGCACGCGCCCCGCGCACCACGCGCGCCTGCACCTGCACCACCGCCGCGCGCTCACATGCGTCGCCATCCACCCCGATGACCAGCAGGTGCGCCGCCCCATTCCCCCCATGCGCGCTCTCCCCCCAATGCCCCCATGCCCCCGCTGTTGCTCATGCCATTCGTGCCCCTCATGATGCTCCTGCTGCCCCTCATGATGCTCCTGCTGCCCCTCATGATGCTCCTGCTGCCCCTCATGATGCTCCTGCTGCCCCTGCTGCTGTTCCTTCATTCCTCTCACGCTCGTCTTTCCCACGTGCCCCTCACATGAGCCACCTCCCACGTGCCCCGTCTCTCTCCCGCCCCGCGTGCGTGCAGGTGGCAGCGGGCGACGTGTTGGGGCGCGTGGTGGTGTGGCATGGCATCGGCCGCCGCTCCGGCTGGGCGTGGGGGGAAGGCCGGGCCAGGGGCGCGCCAGCTGGCGGACGCGCAGGGCGAGAGGGCGGGTGGAGGGGGGGAAGAGGTCGGGGAGGGGGGAGAGGTGGGCAGGGAGGGGGCGGGGGCAGGTGGGGCGCCGGGAGAGGGGGAGGAGCAGCAGGAGCAGGAGAAGGGGAGGAGGGGGAGGGCGAGGAGGAGGGAGAGGGGCGGAGGGGAGCGGAGGGGGAGGAGGACTGTGAGGCGGTGTCATCGCTGCACTGGCACGCCTCCGCCGTGGCGGATCTCGCCTTCTCCCCTGACGGGGTGCACCTGGTGTCCATAGGCGCCGAGGCCGTGGCGCTCGTCTGGCAGCTGCAGTCCGGCGCGCGCCGCTTCCTCCCCCGCATGCCCGCCGCCCTGCTTCGCCTCGTGCTCCCGCCCTCCCTGCTCCCCCCGCTGCCTCCCCCCAACCCCTCCACACCCACTGCAGCAGCAGCAGCAGGGGGGGCAGGGGGAGCGCGGTCGCTGGTGGCACCGTTGGCAGCACCGGAGGCGTTGCGGTTTGGGATGCAGTGTGCGGACAACAGCGTGCGAGTGGTGGACCTCAGCGAGTCGTCCCTCATCGCCTCCATCCGCGGCATCGCCCCCCCGCCCCCCACACGCCCCCTCCCCGCGCGCCACTTCATCCTCCCCCCACTCGACCCCTTCAAATCCCCCCTCGGCCCCCTCCCCTCCTCCGCCTCTGCCACCTCCTCCTCCCTCTCCAACTGCCTCCCGGCTGACGTGGCGCGCCAGCTGGCGGTTGAGCTGGCAGTGACGGGCGGCGGTGCCCCGTCAGCAGTGGTGCAGAGTGTGAGGGGCGGGAGTGCGCGGCTGGTGGTGGTGGGGCCACTGGGGCTGGTGCAGGTGTACGAGGTGGGGAGGCAGCAGGTGGTGGCGGCGGTGCAGCTGATGCGCATCAACGTGGTCTCCTCCGCTGAGGCCCGCTTCAAGCGCGCCCTGAAGCTGCACGACATGCAGCAGCGCGACCAGGCCGTGCGCCTGCTGCAGGGCGGGCAAGGCAAAGCTCAGCAGCCGCAGCCACAGCAGCAGGGGCCGAAACCCCCGCCAATCTGGGTGAGCCACGTGTGCTTCTCCCCTGACGGCCACACGCTGGTCACTGTTGAGATCCGCCAGCCGGAAGATCTGGCCGGCCAGCAGTCCACCCTCAAGTTCTGGGCGGCACCGTTCGGCGGCACTCAGGGCGTGAGGCAGGGCAGTGGCAAGGGAGGCAAGGGCGGCAAGGAGGGGCTGACAGCGCTGACGACGGCGGTGGATGCGCCGCACGGGGCGGCGGGGCTGGTGACCGGCATGCACGTGCGGGCGGGCGGCGACATGGTGGTCACGTGCGGCACGGACGGTGAATTCCGCACTTGGACCCGCGTGTGGGGCGAGGGGGAGGACGAAGGGGGGGAGGAGGGAGAGAGGAAGGGTGCCAAGCAGGGGCGTGGGGGAGTGAAAGGGGGCGGGGGGCGAGGGAGAGGAGGCGTGCAGGGGTCAGGGCAAGCAAAGACGGCGCGGGAGCGCATGGAGGAGCGGGAGGCGGGCATCGCACCGCTGACCTTCTGCTGGCGCTGCCGTGGGGTGGGCAGCTACGCCTCGCAGCCCCTCCTTGCAGCGAGCTTCTCCTGGGAGGGTTCCCTGCTGGCCGTGGCCGCCCTGCACCGCGTCACTCTGTGGGACCCCGACCGCCACGCGCTGCTGGCCGTGCTGCACTGCGCGCCCTCTCTCAGCCCCCTGCAGGCAGGCCTGCCGTGGCACCAGCCCGTCACCGCGCTCGCCTTCCTGCCCCACTCCCCCTTCCTCCTTGCTGTCTCCGGCGCCCTCGCCCCCTCGGGGACCTACTTTACGCCGCCAGGCTCAACCGCTGCCCCCTACGCGGCTCTGTCCGTGTGGAGTCTGCTCTCTCTCTCCCTCGCCTGGTGCCTCCACCTCCGTGTGCTCTCCCTCGCCACCCACCCCTCTGCACCGCTCTTCGCCGTCATCGTTGCTGCTCCCACCGCTGGTGGCGGTGGTGGGAGGGGCGGCGACACAGGGCAGGGCGGTGGCGTGGAGAAGGACGAGGAAGGGGGGGAGGGTGAGGAGGAGGAGCACGGGGAGGAGGTGGGACCGAAGGAAGGTAGTGTTGGGAGGAGTGGGTGGGCGAGGAGGAGTGCAGGCGAAGGCGGGGCGGTGAAGGGGGCAGTGCTGGTGTTTGAGGGCGGGGAGAGCCCTGTGCCCATCGCAGCGTGGGAGATGGCTGATGTCACTGCCGCCACTGTCGCCTTCCTGCCACCCTCCTCCGCACCTGCCGGCAGCAGCAGCAGCAGCAGCAGCAAGGAAGGGACAGCGCAGTGGTCCATCGTGGTGGTGAGCGGTGGCAGGGAGTATGCGGTGCTGAATGGGGAGGAGAGCCGGCCTGCGCCAGATGCAGCGGGTCGGGACGTGGAGCTGTCAAATGGTGCTGCTGCTGGCATGGCGGACGGTCAAGGTGAGTGAGAAAGCTGCCCCTGGCCCCACCCCTCCCTCCCTCTGTCCATCCACTCTACTCATCAACCCCTCCTTAAGAATGTCTATTGCCCCTGCTGTCATCTTGCCTTCTCCAAATTCATTGACTTGCTTCCATTCTCTTCATTTCTCTTGCCTGTGGCAGCTCTTTCGGCCTTTGAAAGCATCTATGGAGCAGCAACCACCGCAGCGGCCGTGGCAGCAGCGGCAGGGGGTTTGTCGGACAAGGGTAGAGCGGCGGGTGAAGGGAGGGGGCAAGGGGAGATGGAGGCGGTGGAGGGGCGGCCGTGGGGCAGCCTGCTGTCAGCGCCGTCACACGTGCTGCCATCGCTGTCCAGGGTGTACCCGCAGTTCATGCAAGCCATGCTGGACCAGCTCTCACTGCATTGATGTGCCCACCCACCTGGATTACCAGCAGAGAGCCTGCATGCCAAAAAATTGCAAAAGTACCATTAAGAAAAAATTGGTGTTCTTATACACGTGCGAGGGAACCAAATATAGGGAGGTTGTACAAGGGGGAATAGTAGTTAACAATGCTGTGTTGTTTTTTTAACAAGTTTTCAGACTTGGCACAATGTTGGTTCCCTAAAGCAATCATCTACGTGAAAATCCAACACGTTGGGTTTCCCTAGCGAGGAAGTCACGAAATTGGGATTGTCGAGCACAATTCTTGGTTTGACCCTTGCCTATCATTCTTCCCAGGAACCACCAAATCGCGGGGTGCGAGCTTCAAGGCTGGGTTGAATATTCTCGTCTGTCTCTATTTAACGTTTATTTCTACCGTGTAGGGACTTTATAGAAGGAGCTTGTTGGCACATCATTTAAACTTTCCGCTTCGTGTAAATCTCCGCTTGTTCTCCTGTTTTCCGCGCGCGCGGATGGAGCTGAGCGCGGAAGACATTGCGATGGAGGAGGCGGAGGAGGCGGAGGAGGTGGGGGAGTGGGAGGAGTGGCAGGAGGACGAGGAGGAGGCGGACGACCCCGCGCTCTGCTTCTTCTGCCCCCGCCAGGCGAGTGCAATCGGACGGGCCACACCGCATTTACATGCTTAACCAGCGCCACGTCACGACGCTGCAGCGAACGGGGTTGGGGAAGGCGGGGAGGAAAGCAGTGGAATCAGGGGAGAGGAAGGTGGAGGGTTAAGGGGATATGGGGGGTTCAGGGGCCGCTGGCGTTGATTATTTGAAGGATTTGAGAGTATTATTTAGTGGTGAGCAACCTTTGTTGAGAAGTCGTTCAAGTTGTGGTTGACGTGTTGGTCCCTCTGCCTGCACTGCAATCCCGTGCAGCTGTCCAACGTGGCGGGCATGCTGCAGCACTGCCGCGCGGAGCATGGCGGGTTCGACTTGAAGCAATTGCGAGCAGCGCAGAAGTGGGACGAGTATCAGTGCATCCGCGCTGTCAACTTCATCCGTACCCACGTGAGTTGCTGAGCCTTCAAGCATTTTTCGAGTGTAGAGACCCAGGTATCATCCTCTCACGCGTGTCACTCGTTTCCCCCAGCGTCACAACAACACCTTTCAATGCGAGTGTGAAGCGACAAGTGGACTCTCTTCCTGCGCCCTTCCTCTCCCCCCAACCCCTCCCCCGCGCCCCCAGGTGGCGGCCCATCGCTGCATCCACTGCCTACAGTCCTTCCCCTCCCCACCTGACCTCATTCAACACATGGAAGCTTTGCAGCACTTTCTCCTCCCTCCTCTCCCGCTCTCCACCCCGCCCGAGCCCTCCGCCTCGGCCCCTTGGGGAGACGACGCATACCTCAGAAGCTTCCTGGAAGGCGACCCTGTGCTGTACAGCTTGGATGATGACGACGAGGAGGGCAGCAGCGAGGGGGGCGCCAAGGGGGGCAGCGCTGATGCTGCTGGTGGAGGGGGTGCGCGCGAGGCCAGTGCTGTGGTGGACGTTACCGGGTTACCACTCACTGCAGCGGCGGCAGGGGCGGCGGCGGCGGCGGCGGCAGCAGCAGAGGGGGGCGGCGTGGGGAGCGAGGAGGAGCGCTCTCTGGCGTTCCAGGAGCTGCTCTCCCTGGCGCAGGGGGAGGGTGCGCGGGGGGAGCAGGGGGAGGGGGAAGGTGCAGGGGCGGAGAGCAGTGGGAGCGGAGGTGCGGGAGTGCAGGCAGCCCGCACAGGGGGGGTGGGAGGGGGAGTAGGCAGCTCAGGTATACCTTCAGGTGGAACTTCAGGTGGTTCTTCTGTTGGCAAGGGCAAGGAGAAGGTGGGAGAAGTTGCAGGAGCAGGGGGGGAGGTGGAGGGGTGGGAGGGTGCAGACGGGGAGGACGTGGCGCCCTCTTTGGAGCAGTACGTGACGCTGGCCAATCAGGTGCTGCTGCTGCGACAACAGAACGCACAGCTGGCACACCAGCTGGCTGCCACGTCAGCAGGAAGGGCTCCAGAAGGCCCTTTCAGTGCCACTGCCGGTGGTGCAGGCACGGCCGCCCCACGCACGCCATTCTCCACCCCCATGGTCTCGCCCTCCCCCAGTACCGCCTCCCTCATTGCCACCGCCACTGCCGCTGCCGCCATTGCCTCTGCTGCAGCACAAGCCTCAGGCGCCAGCAACACCGCTGAAGCTGCCACCGCTGATGGTGCTGCAGCAGGCGCGGGTGCAGGGCCTGCTGCTCCGTCGGCTGCTGCAGCAGCGTGGCAGGCGCAGAGCATGGGAGCGCCGCGCACGCCCTTCTCCACGCCGCTGGTCTCCCCCTGCCCCAGCTACGCCTCCCTTGCCACCGCCGCCGCTGCTGCCGCTGCTGCTGCAGGCGTGGGTGAGTCGGGGGTGGGCAGTGGGATGCACGAGGGGTTGGTGAAAGACATGCTGCTGCAGGTGAGGCACGGCGAGCAGCAGCACAAGCAAGGCCGACCTCCCATTCCCGTATCCCCCCGCCCAGCCTCCACTGGCGCCCTTGCTGCTGAGAAAGCGGTGGGTGTGGTGGCTGCAAAGGCAGGTTTGGCAGGAGGGGAAGGCACGGCAGGGCTAGGATTGGAAGGAGGAGGTTCGGGAACGGGCAGCCCGGTGGTCCCTCGGACGCCCTTCTCCACGCCGCTCGCCTCGCCCTCCCCCAGCTACGCCCTGCTGCCCCTCGATGAGGCCCAGAGGAAGCTGGCAGCCGTTGCTGAGACGGTGGATGGCGCCATGGATGGGGAGGCCGCCGCGGCTTCACCTGCAGCACCTGCTGTTGCTGGTGCGGGTGGGAAGGGGGAAGGGGATGGGGAGGAGGGGCAGGCGGCGAGGAAGCGGCGGCAGGTGACGTTTGGGGCGGTGCGGGAGAGGCAGGTGCGCGTGATCGACGCCAACTACTTCAGCTCCTACGCCGGCTTCGGCATCCACCGCGAAATGCTCTCCGATAAGGTCCGCCCCGCTCCCTTGCCTGTGCACACCGGCTCTGTGGTAGGAGGCAGGCTGGTACGAAGTGAGGTACATGGAATAGCTAGTTGGCGCTGTGAGAGTGATGAGGGGGCGCAGGCGATGTGCGAAGGCAAGTAAATGCATGCGTGCTTCTGTGCGGCCGCATGCCTTCATGCCCCACTCTCTTCACATCCGAACGTCTCTCTAAATCCTTACCGAGCTTCCCATTGCCATGCCTGCCTTGCAGGCTCGGACCACAGCCTACCAGGCAGCTTTGGAGGAGAACCCGAGCCTGATTGAGGGAGCAACAGTGCTGGATGTGGGCTGTGGCACAGGCATTCTCAGGTGAGCATTTTCAGGCGAGCAGTCTCAGGTGGGCATTCTCAGTTGGGAATCCTCAGGTGGGTATTTCAAGTGAGAATCCTCAGGTGGGCATTCTCAGTTGGGAATCCTCAGGTGGGTATTTTCAGGTGAGAATTCTCAGGTGGGTATTTTCAGGTGAGAATTCTCAGGTGGGCATTCTGAGGTGTGTGGAGCTGTGGGGATGACTGGCTGCCCATGTGATCCTCAGCTGTGGGGATGGCTGGCTGCCCATGTGATCCTCAGCTGTGGGGATGGCTGGCTGCCCATGTGATCCTCAGCTGTGGGGATGGCTGGCTGCCCATGTGATCCCCAGCTGTGCTAGCCACGCGCATCCACGTATGGGTGCTCTTGCCTCCTTGCTTCACAAGGTATGCCTGCATGCGCCACTTCAGCTTCCACTCCCTTCCCGGCTTGCCGCCCATTCCCCTCATCCCTCCTGTGCTGGGCAGTCTGTTTGCAGCGCGCGGAGGAGCAGCGAGGGTGGTGGCGGTGGATGGCAGTCGAGAGATTCTCACCGTGGCTCAGCAGGTGGGCGGCGCAGCATTTGGGGTGGGGCTGCGTGGGTTCACAGGATGGCAAGGCAGGGTGAGTGAGGTGATGGAGGCAGAGGGGGTGCATGCTGCATGTGTCTACTGCACATGCCCGTGCATCTCCCTCTATGCCATTCACATGCTTCTCTCACTCCCTCACATCTGACGCCGATCGTCACTTCTCCTCACCGCTCGCATTCTCCTCTCTACCCCTTCTATCCGCCACCAGATAGCGCGCGACAACGGCTATCTCGCGGGCGCCGAGTCCGCCCCCCCTGCTCCCAGCAGCACCTCTGCCAGCGCGCCTCAGCGCACCCCACGCCCCGTGGTGTCCTTCGTGTGCAGCAAGATCGAGGACCTCTCCCCCGCCCCCACCGGGACCACTCAAGCACCCGCGCAGGCGGGCGCTAGCGGCGAGGGGGCGGGAGGCGGGGGAGGCAGCGGGGAGGTGGCGTTGGAGCGGGGGAGTGTGGATGTGATAGTGAGCGAGTGGATGGGGTACGCGCTGCTGTACGAGTCCATGCTGCCCTCTGTGCTGCACGCCCGTGACACCTGGCTCAAACCGGGCGGCGCCCTGCTGCCCGACACCGCCTCCATGGTGAGAGCGATGGGTTGAGCTTGGCCCTCATGCCTCCATGCTCAGATGGGTGCATGTCCTGCACATGCAACCATCAGGGCTGCATTCCGCTCGCACTGTTCGCTTCTTGCCTCCGGTTCATTTGTCTCCTCTTCCGCATGCTGCCCCTCTCCCATCCCATCATTCCGCCTGCTTCGCTTCCCGGCCACCAGCACGTGGCGGGGTTCGGTGAGGGAGCAACGAGTGTGGGGTTTTGGAGGGACGTGTACGGCTTCAGCATGGCATCTGTGGCGCGCGAGATAGAGGACGAGGCGGCTCGCACGCCGCTGGTACAGGAGGTGAAGGCGTGCGATATAGTCACGTCCACCGCCACCATCAAGGTGCGCCCTCATGCACGCCATGCGTGTGCCTCCTCTCCCAGGTCACCCCTTGTATCTCTCGTCCTTCACCTCCCTCTGCTGTCCCCCCTGCCTCTTCTCCCCTGAACCTCATCCTCTCCGCCCATCCCTTACGTTTCCCCCCATCTACCTCCCCCGTCCTTCCCGCCCTTCCGTGGCAGCACTTTGACCTGTGCACCGTGGCAGTGCTGGACCTCGACTTCACCTCTGAATTCTGCATCACTCCAACCCTCCCCACCTCCTCTGCTGCCGGGCCAGCTCCCGCTGACAGCCCTGCCGCTGCAACTCCAGCATCCCCTGCCTCCGCCTCCCCCGCGCTGTGCTACGGGCTGGCGCTGTGGTTTGACACGGCCTTCTCCGCCCGATTCTGCTCCGCCAAGCCAGTGCTGCTCTCCACGTCGCCCTTCTGCACGCCCACCCACTGGGCCCAAACCCTCCTCACCTTCCGCGAACCCATTGCTCTCGCACCTGCAGCACAGTCCAGGGCTGCAGTGCTGATCGGAGAAACCCCACCACTGGGAACAGGAGCGGTGGGGTCGGAGGGTAGGCCGGCGGTGGAGGTGAGGGGGAGGGTGAGTGTGGTGCGCGCCAGCAAGCACCGCAGCATTGACATTTCAGTGGAGGTGGTGGCGGTGGGCGCTGATGGGGGCAAGAAGGCATGGCCCGCTCAGATGTTCACCATATGAAGCCGTGCGCGCACATGCTTGCGGCCATGGTTCCACTTATTTGTCGTATATGTTCAGACGCGTTATGTTAACTTTATGAATGGTCATGAGGGGTGCAATATTTCAGTGCAGCTTATGCTACGCGTAAAAGCCTTAGTGTACACTTTCACAAGGGGGCTGACCATACTTTGACGAGGACATCAACCTGTGAGTGCATGCCTCGTCAGTGAAGCCATACAGAGTATGCCACATTGGATGCCCTCATCATTCTTATGATTCCCGCGCAATCTGGAGCCGCAGTTCCGCGCAGTGCATTCACCTTCCACCTTGGGAATGTCGCATTGCTGAAGATCACATAAGCACATATTCAAATCCTTCACACTCACTCTTGTGCTGCACATCTCGACTTTCAGTCCCATACCTCGAGCCTCCGTTCTCGATCATCTGCAGTGAGCGATAGCTTCTTTGCAGCGGCAGTCGAGCTCGCTGTAGGCGATGGCGGCTTCTCTACTGCTCCGCAGCGGCCTATCGGCCTCCATCGCACCGCGCTGCTCGCCCTCCGCCACCCACAGTAAGCCCGCCCTTCTCGCGGACCGCCTCTCCTCCTCCGCGGCCTTCGTGCCCTCCTCCCGTCGACACCGCCTTCACCTCCCCGCGCACCGACCATCCGCGCGTGTGAACCAGCACCGCCACGCGCCCGCCGCGCCCAGGGCATCCGTGCAGACCGTCGAAGCTGCGCAATTGCCGCAGACCTGGTCCGCGTTTTCCGCCGCAATCACCGGGGAATGGGCGGGGTACTCATCGGACTTCTGCCCCGACGGGATAGAGACGGAGATCCCAAGGGAGGCCATTCCGCCGCCCTTTTGCGACTGGGGCCTCGCGCTCTTCGCGTGGCAAGCGCACAGCTCCACTAACGCGGATGCTTCTACCGGGGAAGTCCAAACCGTCTCCGAGCGCTTCCTGCCGTCGCTTGGCTTTGGCGGCGGCGGCGGCGCGGCGTCGCGCTACAGCGTGGATCGGCGCGCGGCGGGGATCGGGCAGGACGCGGCGGGCGTGCTTGGCTTCCGCGACGACGGCTGCTACGCCGTCGCCTGGCCCGGTAAATCCGTTTCCGAGCCTGCTTCCGAGCCTGGCGTGAACGCGGCTCACGTAGTGGTTCGGCAGGGCAGCGGCAGCGGCGACGCGTCGCAGTTCTTCGAGTTGGAGCACTGCCTCGTCGCGGAAAACCCGGACGCGCAGACCGACGGCAAGCCCGAGCGCGTGCGCGTGCGCGTGGTGCAGCGTTTTCAGAAGGGCGCGGGGGCGGCGGGCGGGGTGGGGGACGAGGGGCACCTGCCGCAGCTGCTGGGCATGACGCTGTTCCGCGAGCGGTGGGTGGGCCAGTGGCGCGCCGAGCCCGACGGCGCGAACGAGTCGTCGGAGTTCGCGGAGGGCCCGCCCGTGGGCATCGAGGCCGTGGAGGGGCGCTGGCTCGCCTCCGCCATGCGCGCCGACCTCAAACTGGTGAGCTCGGCGCGCTGCATGGCGCAGATGGTGTGTGTGAGGAGGGTAGGTGGGGGGATGTGCGGAGCAGAGCCGATGGGCAGTGAGGCGAGAGTGGTGAAGAAGAAAGAACACAATCTATGGAACGGGCGATCCGTGAACGAGAGATATGCTTGACATACACGTCATGTGGGACACAATGAATCTCGTCCGTCCATCGCACTGCCTCCCTTCCTGCCCACCCACCCCCTGCCATCCCCTCTGACTGTCCTTCCCCCCACACCACATTGCTGTGCAGTCTCCGTCATAACCTCCCTTCCACGGAGCTCCGAGGAGGGCAAACCCATCCAGCCGACAACAATTAGCATTGTGCTTCACTCTGCCGGGCCCTCATGACCCTTCCCTCCCCTCCCCCCCCCACCCCCCACCTCCTCCCCTGCGGAACAGGGCGACGAGTACGGGCGGCGGGGGGCGGTGGTGGAGCTCAAGCCGGCCGGCACTGAGGAGGTCACCAGGGAGCTCACAGACGAAGGTTCCGTGCTGCTTCCTCAGGTAAGAGAAGCGTGTGTGCCACAAAGTGCAATGGAGGTGTCGGTGCGGTGAGAGGACGACTGCACGTGACGTCAGCTTCACAGCACATGCTGCAGCCAGCAATGCGTAGCTTGCTGCAAGCAATGGGGATCGCGGGTGGCTCTCAAGGCAGGTCAATACTTCTCCTTACCAGCCACCCTTGGATAGCAGCAACGCAACATGGCACCATCAGTGCACCCACCTGCCCTCTGATTCCAATCAATGCTCTGCTTGACCATTGCCTGTGTGTCCGCCCCATGGCAGGGCGTGTGGTCGAGGGTGCTGCCAACGCCCAGTGGCGGGGTGATCCTCAAGGCGGGCTGGCTTGTGGAGGCCGACAGGGCCATCGTCTCTCGCTTTGACTACTCCGCCCAGGGTCATCTCGAGGTACTTGCTGCGCGCCCCACTCGCACTAGCATACATTTCCTTCATACTGCCTGCCTGCACAAGATGCTCTATGTGGTTCTTATACCGCACTCCCCCATACCTCCCCCCTTTCACTTGCGTGCAGCACATCACGATATCAACAGAGACGCGCATCAGCAAGAGACCATGAGCTGCTGATGAATCGTAGTTGCTTTCTGAATCACGCCCTCCACAAGCACCCACAGCCATTGTTCAGCAAGAGTACATAGCTGCTAAGGGGATGGAAACATGGATTCAGTTTGAAGTTGTCCACCACACCGCACCATGTGCTGCTGTCAAACGGGCAGCAAGGCCCGGCTTGCATATTATGCGGGACTCATCCATTGTAATCTAACGTCTATCAATCACCTTACAAGCACGACCATCCATCTATGCATCAGTGCATCAGATGTTACCACACCACACAAGTACCAATCACCCTAACACACGTTTAATTGGGAATAGCGCTACACTATTGAGATGCATGGGAGCTGGCAGACGAGCTGTGCTCGTCGCTGCTCGTGGAGAGCAGCTGTGTGCCACCCTGTGGGGCATGACACAGGGAGGGCAGCAGGCGGGAGAGCAGCGATGCAAGGGAGGGCAGCCCGAGTGCGGCATGGCGGTGCACCACATGCTGCCTCGCCCGCAGCAGCACTGCCACCCTGCTGCTGTGTGCATGCGGAGGGGGTGGCGGTGTTGTGGGTGAACGGGGAGGAGGCGGTGGGGCTGGGGCTGGTTGTGGGGGCGGGGGCCGAGGTTGGGGAGGGGAGCGGTGTGGTGGTGATGGTGGGGAGGGCGATGGATGAAGTGGTGGTGGCGACGGCGGTGGCTTATAGGGCGGGGACGGGGGTGCGGGAGGTGGGGGTAGTGGAGGGGGGGGATTATGGGGTGGAGGTGGGGGATGAGGGGATGGGGGACGGTGAGGAGGGGGGAGGAAGGGGAGAAGGAGGAGGTCGAGAGGGAGAGGGGTGAGGCTGAGGAGGCTGGCGAGGCGGAGGAGGGGGATGTGAAGGGGGAGGATGCGGAGGAGGGGGGTGAGGGGGAGGAGGAGGAGGAGAGGGAGGGGGTGGTTTAGGAGGGGAAGGGTGGGGAGAGGGAGGGTGACTTGGGGGTGGAGAGGGGGGAGGAGGAGGACTGGGAGGCGGCAGAGGAGGATGAGGAGTAGGATGAGGGGAAGGAGACGGTGGGGATGGGGGGGGAGGAGGGGAAGATGGAGGGGATGGAGGAGGGGAAGAGGGAGGGAATGGAGGAGGGGAAGATGGAGGGGATGGAGGGGAGGAGGGAGGGGATGGAGGAGGGGGGGAGGGAGGGGATGGAGGGGAGGAGGGAGGGGGTGGAGGAGGGGAAGAGGGAGGGGATGGAGGAGGGGAGGAGGGAGGGGATGGAGGAGGGGAAGAGGGAGGGGATGGAGGAGGGGAGGAGGGGGGGGATGGAGGAGGGGAAGAGGGAGGGGATGGAGGAGGGGAAGAGGGAGGGGGGGATGGAGGAGGGGAAGAGGGAGGGGGGGATGGAGGAGGGGTTGGAGGTGGTGGAGTGGGAGGGGGAGGGGTAGGGGAGGGGGGGGGGAAGCGGAGCAGGAGGGGGGGCGTTGCGGGTCCACATAAGCCAGGATATGCGTGCACCAGGCATAGACGGTCGTTTATGCAGAATGTCCTGGTACCCACCAGTGCAGCTCACGGGTTCCTCCACCAGCGCCCTTCGTCCCTCGCCCCCCCACTGCACTCCTTCCCAGTCGCTCCAGATGCCACACCACAGGAGGGCTTGCCTGCAGGGCTCACCTCCCACAGCGCGATGAA